TATAATATATCGTTGGAAAGCTCTTGTCAAGCCCCATAAAACTACACTACTATCGGACCCATATCATGGACCAACCAAACTGGATTGACAGTTTTCTTAAAATAAGTTTTCAAAAACAGAAAGAAGAGAAAAGAAATTAAAATTGTCCGCAACACTAAACTTTCCACACTTTCGCTTTATTCGATTATGAGTCGACGCGAAAGGTACTCATCACTAGGTTTGGTTTTGGGGAGACACAAATGGGTGTATACAAAAGCCCCCACTTTGACTGAGTTTGGAGAGACGCGAGTTTCGAGAACAAAAGTCAAAGTATCGATAGGGACGGAGAATGATTCAGAACGTTCTGCGATTCTAAGTCACTCTTGTAATGCCGATACCTGCAAAAATAGCGTTAGTTAAATGGATAAAAGAGTTAAGAAACACGTATCTTGCACCGTCGAGCACACGTCTCTGAAAGTAACCGATTTGCTGCCGCTTTTCCGTTGTTTTGATGACCTCCTGCAAGCTAGAGAATGCCATCCCGTTTGAAAACCGCTACGCCTGTAACTGCTTCCAAATTAGAAGATTGCTTCGCCTGAAACGATCCTCCTCCGCTATGATAATATTCCACGTCCAAGGGAATATTATCGAAGATTGTTTCTCTTAAAACAATCCTCTTCCGCTATGATAATACTCCACGTCTAAGGGAATACTATCGAAGATTGCTTCTCTTGAAACAATCCTCATCCGCATTGATAATATTCCACGTCCAAGGGAATACTATCGAATATTATTTCTCTTGAAACAATCCTCAATTGTTTGTGACAACTCTCCATAATCTAGGGAACGCCACCTTGCTGTTTCGATGTTCACTCGTCTCTGAACAAAGAGCTTCCTTTTTTTTTTGGATATGTTCACGCGCCTCTGAACAAAGAGCTTCTTTTTTTTAATATGTCCACGCGTCTCTGAACAATAGAGCTTCTTTATCATATTCTTTTTTAATATGAACTTCTAAATGATGTGTCCACGCGTCTCTGAACAAAGAGCTTGATAATAGGATGCCCACGCGTCTCTGGAGTAAAAGAGCTTGATGGAAATGTTCACACGTCTCTGAACAAAAGAGCTTGAATAATATGCCCACACGTCTCTGGAGCAAAGAGCTTTGATGGAGATGTTCACGCGTCTCTAAACAAAAGTGCTTGAATAATATGCCCACGCGTCTCTGGAGCAAAGATCTTTGATGATATGTCCACGCGTCTCTAAACAAAGAGCTTTTGATGATATGCCCACGCGTCTCTGAACAAAAGAGCTTCGATGATTGAATGTTTGTTGTGATAATATTCCGGAAAAAAATTTCCGAAGACCAACGCTTGCCAATCTCTAAAGCTTGCTTGAACTTTGCTTCCGCTAAAACTAGTACGTTGGTGATGAGCCAATTCTTAGGCGCTTTAAGCTAAGTGAGACGATCTTTCATCAGGTCGATCGCTTATTGTGATTGTAATCAAATCGACTACTCAATCATGTCAAATTGCTTATAGGGGCTAACTAGCGTACCAAGGAACCCGAAATTGCTGCATGAGGCCAAAATCACCTTTTTGAGAGGCTTCGAGCTCTATCTCTGCTGAAATATCTCTGGCGCCAAGGATTGACTCTGCCGCCAGACACTGAGATCTAGCGCCAGGCGCTAAAAGCTATTTCCAGACGCTAGATGTTGTCGTCTGGCGCTGGAGTAGGGTCTTCCTTATTCTGTTGCACCTGTATTTATTTTTTACTATAGAATTTTTCCAATCTCTTTATTAGGGTTGACCTAAGGTTTAACGTCGCTTGACTTATTGACTCGACACAACTCAAGGCATAAACTTGACTCGCTGTGATCGACTGACTCGAGGTTGACTCGACTCGAAGTGAAATGACACATGTGTTAGACTCAAATCAAAGTGATATGACACGACATGACTCAATGTGTACATGACTCGTGTATGCATTGTAATGTGATCGTGCGACTCGAAAAATGCAAAAAGGCAAAAAATTTCCGTCATTTTTGTGTGGAGTCATTTTTGTGTGGAGGGTACCGATTTTCTCCCGAAAAAGAAAGACGCGAAAAAGAATCGAAAGTTTTGAAGGTGCATGTTGAATGAGCTTAGTCAAATGTCATTTGATACTATCTCTCAAGGTGCAAGGATTAATCCATCCTAGGCTATCTCAATGGTTGACTCCATGATGAAAGCATTTGGGTAACTTAGGCACGAAGGCTAAGCACTTCATACTCCGTGATGCAATGACAATTATGAGTGATTTTGACGAAGCATGCTTCAGCGTTAAGATTTCATGACAAAGGGTTCCTAAGGGAAATATATTTGGTCATGTATCTGTGTAGTGTGTGATAGTGATACTAAAGCTAGGTCGCAAGAGCTAAGTGTGTGGGAAAATATTATTTCAAGAAGAGTCAAATGATGGTGACTCTTTTGGCTAGGTAAGCTAATGATCTAGGGATCAAGCCCCCAAGTCTAGCTCTACATGAATAGGGATGAGCACAGGGGATCCCTTGATATGATCATGGTGTGAGAATGTGAATGTGAATGCATTTTTATTACGGCCGCACCTCGATGTGAGGTTGCCTACGTATCCGTTAAGAATCAGGCCAAACGTAGCTCTAGTCGAACCTCGCACAAGTGTATGTATACCTCAAAAAGGTCTTTTAAGGGTTGTAACGTGGTTAGGATAAAGTCTTGAAGAAGAAGGGGATAAAGGCTCAAGACCCTAGATAAGCCCCCAAGGTGTGCAACCTTGCTTTTGAATCTTTGTATTTTTATGCTTGAGGTTTTCTACTCTTTTTTAGCTCTTTTTTTTTTGCTTTATTTATTTTATTTTCATAAGTGTGGGCAATCCCGATCATGCGGTCTATCACTCATTTGGCATTCATGTTTCTCAGGCACGGTACCGAGCACTCGATAAGAGACGCAATCTGAGACGTGTTCTTATCGAAGATATTTTCATATCAAAGACATTGGAACACTTGCCCTTTTGTACACTTTATTTATTTATTTTTTCTATTTTAATTTTTTGGATTTGCTCAAGCCTTCTTTAGAATTGCATAATTTGCACATTGTCCCATCCCAAGGTTAGGTAGATGTAGGTTGAAAAAAGAAAGGTCTATCGTTAGACGAGGCTCAATGTGGTTTATGAAGAAAGGATGTATAATTGAAGGGTGAAAGGAGATATGATGTGGCTACAAGGGGTGCCTCAAATCGTTGGTATACCTTGTGCTTAATTCAACATGGATTTTTTTTTTTTGATGCAATATAATGAAATGATCATATATAAGGGAATAAATGCTCATTTTCATTAAAAGAAAATATATAGTGATCCTACAAAATAAATCTGAGGAGAATAAAAAGGTGCCTTATGATAGACTTATTGGGGAAAGGGTAAATAAAAAAAAGAAATAGAAAAAAGAGGTCACGAAATCTTGTCGTTGAAGCTCGCCTCTTTTCTTGTGTTGTTTCCTTTATCATCACTCGCTCTTCTTGTTAACTGGAGGCATGGGAAGCTTTTTATTATCAATCAAATGTTGGATAGCCTTCTTTAGCTTCCAACAGCTCTCAGTAGCATGACCCCTGCCTTGATGGTACTTGCAGTGTTCGTTTGGGTTCCAACTAGGCAATCTCTTCTCAAGTGGGGGATCTTGAATAGGTCCAATGGGAGTAATGAGTCCTTTGGCATGAAGTCGATCGAAAGCATTATTGTAGCTAATTCCAATAGGGGTGAAATCCTTTCTCAGTTTCTTTCGATTACTCATGGCTAGGATCTCACTAAGGTCGAAAGTACCAATACTATTACTAGAGTAGGTGTTTTTGGAAGAAGAAGGATAGTCGTTCTTCTTCCCTTTACAGCCACTGTTACTATCGTTACTAATCTTGGCCATCTTGTCGCGCGGAGGAACATGAAGGAGATTTGAATCAATGAAGTCTTGAACACGATCCTTGAGGGCGAGACACTTTTCAGTAGTGTGACCGCGACCTTTATGGTATCGACAATAGGAATTTGGATCCCAATTTTGAAAACGTTTTTTAGATGGAGGGTCTTGACTGGGACCAATGGAGTGAATATGACCTTGATCATAAAGATAGTCAAAAGCTCCATTGTAAGTCATTTCTATTGGTGTGTATTCTTCAATGGTCCATTTTGCCTGTGGCTTAGTAGCATTGAGTTCTTCATTAAACCCTTGACGAGGATTTTGTTTGATGACCATCACCCGATTTGCTAGTCCTTCTACCACATTCAAGAGCATGGCAATGACATATTGCAGTTTTCGAACGTCCTCTTTTAGATGTGATGAGTCTTCCCTAGTATTATCCAAGAAAAGACTTTCTCGAACGGGCCAAAAAGCTAGTTAAATATTTGAAAAATTTACAAAATGCAGCCATTTAAAGTTAGTATTTTGCAAATTGCAGCCATTTAAAAAAAATCTCAAATTAATGCCCAAAGTTCGTATAAATTGTAAATTGGAGTATGATTAAACTTGTTCATCGATTTACATGTCGAAAAATTTTTGGTTAAAGTTTTAGGGGCCTTTTTTTTGTCCTTAAGGGTCCGAATTGAGCTCAGAATTAGTAAAAATAAAAAAATAAAAATAAATAAAAAAAGGTAAGTGTCTCGTTGTTACAGCAAAAAATAGTTGCCCACAAATCGATACATTTTTGTTACACAAAACGAGATATTTACGTTATTTTATTACTAATTTCGAGCTCAATTTGATTCCTTAAGGACGAAAATGACCAGTTAAGCCTTAATTAGAGATTTTTCAACAGGTAAACCGATGAAAAAGTTGAATCAAACTGCAATTTACAATTTATACAAACTTTTGGGCTGTAATTTGTAATTTTTTTTAAATGGTTGTAATTTGCAAAATACTAAATATAAATTACTGCAATTTGCAAATTTTCCTAAATAAATATTTTGAAGGAAAAACGTCAAATCTACAAGAAGAGATAACTTTTATAGAAAAGACTAATTTTAGACAATAATGTCAAAATTACTCACTGAAAAGTTTTTCAAATATTCCGTAGCACACAATTAGGAGTACTATATACAGTATACTGTTACTTAGAACTGATATTGGGAGGGTTTCAGAATCATCACAAGAATCCTCACATATAAACGTATAGGTCTATGTCATAATAATGAATGGCTAAAATTGTACACTACGATAATAGCTAAATATAACCGCGACATAAAGTTCATATGTAACATTAAGCATAGCTTGCCAGTTGTAAGTTGAACTAGGACGAGCAGTATTCTAAGGTGCTGTAAAATTTTCAACACAAGTAGTCGTCTCTTCAGCACCAGAAATAATTTCCCAAGATTCTGGGGCCAAATTCTGCATCTCAATTCTATGTGAGCTATGTGAACCACCTACAGCATCTTTTCCATCTTCAACCCAGTTCTTCAATATATTGTGGACTTCCTTGTCAAAAATTCCGTGCTTAAACATACTTCCCATCTACATAGAATAGGTAGTGACATGAAATACAAGCAGTTTTTTAGCCTGAAGATGGTTTGCCTGGCCTTATAACAAGCATATTAATAGCTCACCTGGCTAACAATTGTGTACAGAGGCAATGTACTGTAACTGCAGAGCACTTGAACAATCACGCTGTCATACAGGAACGTAGAGATGGTGATTAGTATAATAACTGACCCATGTAATTAGAAGCAGCCTCAAAGAAATCAACAAAGCATGAAGAAAAACCCCAGCAGTTGAAGCCGAGAATCAACATACAAAGGAACACTGCATTACACTAAACCAGATCAAAAACAACAAAAGCAAGATTCACATTATGTCTGTCTGCTAAGAGTAAAGCGAGCACAGACTAGAATGTTTATGTTGGACACTAGTGCAGCCACGAATCAACAGGATTCCAAATATACTACTTTTTTCTTAATTGACAAGAAATGGACTGCAACTGAATGGATCGTGAAGAAAGTTAAAACTGAGGTTTGCTGGAGAATTCACCGTTTAATTGACAAGAAATGGACTGCAGCTGACTGCAAATGGTTTCACAGCCTTAAGACTTACTGTATAATTTGTATAGCTTGTCCTTTTAGTGTTGGTTTTGGTTGTGAGTTGTTGAGCTTTTTTGTCTTGGGGATGGTTTTGTTTCGGTTTTTTTGGCCTGGTATTTTGTTTCTTAGTTGTTTAGGGAGATTCCCTAGGGGAATTCCCGAGGTGCTGTACATATTTTTCCAATGTTAAAACATTACTAACCAAAAAAAAAAAAAAAAAAAAAAGGAATATGGTAAGATTTCCGGAAATCCATTGTTTGCAATAACGCTTTGTTTAGCAAAGAAGGAAGCAAAGGAAGGGGAGGGGAAAAGTAGGAAGGGAAGGGAGAAGAAAGGGAGGGGGAGGTGAGGTCCATTTTCCTTCCAAATCTCTCCAATGTAGGAGAGATTATGATTATTAAAGAGAGAGGGAAAATGGATCCCTCCCTCTCCTTCCCCTTCCTTCCACCAATCCTCTACCCAAACAAAAGAATTTGTCCCCCTCCCTTTCTCTTCTCTTCTTTTCCTTCCATTTCTTTCAATCCAAACAAAGTGTAAAGGTGATTGCTATGTTTTAAGGCAGAAAACCAATGGTCACACATAAGTCCTGAAATTTAAAGTCACGTGAACTCTCCTACAACTATAGTATGGAACAAGGTTTTTGTTTTCTCTTGTTCAAAACTTACAATGGAAAATTAAAACTAGAAAGAAAGAGACGTAGAAGACAAATAACAGTCAATAGGAAAAAACTAAGCAGTAAATCATACTTACCCAACAATAAGCCGGGGGATAATGAAGCCTACTTTGTCAAGAATGCATGAATGGACACCATATGTAAACTGGACAATGGAAGTGTGTAAGTGTCAGAAATTAATTTTGCAATGGAGCATTCAAAGTGATTTGTTGTTTGCTGCTCACCAAAACCCACAAGAAAAAAGCTATCTCAAAAGAGTTCTGGAACAAAATGAAGTGAATCATGTACAGAAAAAGGCTGGGACTTCCAAACCAAAAGTGTTTGTCAGATGGTTGCACCCAAAATTCTTTTTCATCTGTTCCCTGTGTCTGGTTCTGGACAGGAATATTCTTCTTATCTTTTTCCTCAATCTCATCAGCCAAACATACAATAATGTGTTCCAGTTTGGTACCCACAATAAGCAGAAGCTGTTCTCAACTCAAGTCTAATTAGCAAAAAGTACAGTGACTAAAATATGCATTTTTTTTTCCAATGTATAGCAGATGTATATAATAATTTCTCCCAAATCTGTAGGGAACTTACAATGAGAGGAAGAAACGATAACCAGAAATATGCATGCCATCCTACAAGTACAAAGCATTAAATTATTACAAGATAAGAATAATAAGTGGCATTGCAAATCAGGAAGAGACATTGGTCTACTGGTCTCTACTGTGTGTCTAGATCTCTCCCTGGGAAAATACCCCCAGGAATGACGGGAAGGGGGTAGAGCAGTGCTGGGGCCTGAAGGCTGAGCATCTGCGATTCTATGAAGCTGACCAGCAGGAGCAAGAATAATGAGTGAATAATAACTTAAGGGTGATAAGTGATACCTTTCAGGTTGAGCAACAAAAAGAGCACAACAAATACCCACAAGTACCAGCTGCAAAAAGAAAGTATTCCTTAGTCAAAAAGCTCAATACAATTGCTTCAACAGAATCCAAACACTTGTGTGTGCACCTACCTTATGCCAACCACTTTCTTGAAATCATATTCTAAAGTCCGTAGCATGTACTTGTGGAAATTATATTTGAGATTTGTAGGGCAGTGAGTCTAAAAGATGGAGAAAAGATGCATTAGCCTGCTATTTTATCAATCAAAAGTGGATCAAGTACATATCAATTTATCAGATAAATCTCTTTCTCATTCCCATTCCCTCCCTCCTACAAATTTCTGTTTAGGAACGATGTGAAACAAACAAGATTATGACAAATTTACCATAATGAATCCATGTCGCATGTTGATGTAGTCAGACTTCTTCACAGAGCCATAAAATTGTTTGAAAAATGACATCTAGCAAGTCACACAAGAGGTATACAACATCAAAAGAAAGTAAGATTATATTAAGTAGTCTCAAGCTAATGATAGATAATTGCTATCATCACTACACATGTTCTAACATAATCGCAAAGTGAACATCTCCAATAATTGGAAAGACTACAACACAATGACACATACCTTACCATGAACCCCTGTCAGAATACTCCCTCTGTTTTTTTTTTTTTTTTTTTTTTTTTAATATTTGCATCACTTTGATTGGCACATTTGCCGATACATAGTTTGACCATTAATATCGTTAATGGTATATTACTAAAAATTTGAAAAAATAAATAAATAAATACAATATGAAAATAGAAATTGTAATTAATCTAATAATACATTACAAAATAATACTTATGCATTCTATAATACTTCGTAGTATTAAAAAAAAAAAAATTGTGTGAACCACAAGCATCATGTTGAGCATCCCATGGAAGTAATTAATTAGTAAGAGATACTAGTTAATTAAATAGTACCAGATCATATGATAGTTGACTTCAACTAAATCTTGCTAGGAAAATCTCATGACACGGTCCATAGTAAGGCTTCTCTACCTCTATGATTCTCCAAAAGAAATTCCTATTCCTATTCTTATTCCTAATTCTATTCCTATTTACTACCATCTTGATAGGTGGTAATAGAGTTTCAAAGAAAAAACACATATTTGGGGAATACTTGGAAGTAGAGCTGCATTGTATAGACATTAGCATGGGTTTATTCTTGAACAAATGCATGCAAGATCATTACAAATACCACCATATATTTTCACCAACAAACAAGCTGATTAGGTCACATTTTGTTGAGTGGGACTTATTACAAGCTATATTAATCCAACATATACATGCTATTTTCCTAAATACTATATAATTTACTATTTTTGCAAATAATTTTAAATGAATATAGAGCACACTATAGGGGATTAATGAATTTACATTTTCTATCTTCTTGTCAAAAAGTGTGAACTCACCGTTACACCTAAAACAGTTGAATATCCTCTTCGGGTCTTAAAGAACTCACGGCGATGTTGAGTATAAATATGATTAACCCTATCTGATTCTTCACCTTTAGCAATAGCCTCTGTCAAAAAAGAAGAAAAAGAATTATATTTTTGTTTGCATGCTTTCCAATTCTTCACAATTAATATAAGCATCATTCAAAAAAAAAAAGAAAAAAAAAAGAAAAGAAAAAGGTTTTGTTTGCATGCAAGTTCATTACCTTTTTCGGCTTTTTGTGCTTTTTCAATCTCACGTCGTAATGAGTCTTCCCAATGCTTCCATTTCCGCACCTATACAAGAAAAAGAATTAAGCAGACACATTATATAAAGTATTGGCCTACATAGCTTAAAATCACCTCTTTCAAATTTCCTTTGTGCTTCAAACCAATGTGTATGATCACATTATACACCCAAGCTTTGACTTAGATGTACAAGAGAGAAAGGTTGATGTTTCTATAGTTACTCAAGGCTGGTTGGGAAGGCAACGAATGACACAGTAATTGAAGTTATTGTTTCACCTCTTGTTTGGTTGACATGATAAAGGGAAAATGTGGGAAGTGGGAATTCCATGGATATTGGATAATACAAATTCCCACACATCCTAACACTCTACTCAGTAATTTACCCTTCCTTAATTTTGGATATTTTACATCAATGTAAATATGTTTAAATTTTTTATTTGATCCTCAGAAAAAAGTGATATTATAAATTTAGACCCACCCTTAATTAATTTTCAGGTTTTCGCTTTCATATTAGCTCTTAGTGGTTGCCTCGATGGTGAGGCTATACTGGAAGGCGGGGGTAAATATTGGAGATAATCCCCTTATGACTTGAGTACATTGTGTTGGCTTTGCTTAGAAAATTCCTATAAGCTAAACAAATATGAGAATTAAGATTTGCTCATCCTCGCAGAGTTTGGTACCACAGACCTAATGATGATGCACTGATAAATATACCTTGAAGCCTCCAAGAATCATGATTGCTGCACAGGAGATAACATAAACAATTGCCAAGACAAAGATAAAGATGTGTAGTTGATGCAACCCTTCCAATGATACTAATTGAGCTTTTCCCTGCAACCACAAATAGAAAGGTTTCAATTTTATTTATATATAATTTGGCTTAAACTCAAAAAAGAAGTTGATGGGAAGGTGAGAGAAAAATATATATACTATCTCTGTTTCATATTTGGGGGTATTATTTGTGAGATACTACCTCCGTTTCTTTTTAGTTAACCACAAATATATATAATTTGGCTTAAACTCAAAAAAGAAGTTGACACGTTTCCTTTTGTGGTAAATTTTTTACCTTGCATTTACAAGCTACCCCACTTGCTTTTTCATTCTCTCACTCTCTCTCCTCTCCTTAATATATGTGCCTAAATTAAACGCGTCAACTAAATAGAAACGGAGGAAGTATAAAATATTCCGAAGTTGCAAATAATAGGAAACGAAGGTAATATAAAGTATTTCTTTTAAAGTCAATATAGAAGTGTAGAAATTTGGGACAACAAAAAAACAAGTGTGAAAGCTAAGATAGCAAGGGACTGATGGAGTTTACAAAGTTAGAAGGATAAATATAGAAAGTTAAGATTCTCATTGTTCAAGCACATTGGGGGAGTTTCTCTACCCTTCATTAACCAGGTAATTTAATGCAACACGGAGTAATTGTCTTAAGAAAGGGCATACACTTTTTTTAGGTAAGGGCAGAATTCATCAGGTAAGATGAAAACCATTTTGATTACCTTTAGTTCACAGTGACTACTAGCTTCAGCAAGAAGTCGTCGTTTACTCCAGGAAGGTTGATAAGCATATTTGCTATGACTATTGCCTTCATGATCAGCATTTTCCTTTTTGCAAGGTAGCATATAGTTTGTAAGATGCTTTGGAATGCATATGTCACTTACAAATCCTTGGAAGACTGTCAGAAGTAGAGAGATAAATCCCAACAACATCAACTCTGCATACATCAGAAAGAGAAACACCGTTAAAAGGAAAGGCATCCAAGGAACATGCATACAACTCAAGATTTGCACAAGAAAAGAGCCAAGACCCACAAAAGTCAACAGTAAGAATGCCACTTATACATGATCTAAGAAACAACTTTCAGATTGAGAGAAATCATGGACAAAAAATAGTTGATGTCTGAATATATTCAGACATCAACTTACTGCTAATATATCAAGAAAGAACATCTTAAGTATTCAAAAGAATGTCCCAAATTTACTACAGCAAAAAATATCAGTTACTTCCATTGTTTCAGAAAGAGGAAAGAGAGTGTTCAAAAGAGTGAGAAGTCAACACTACCCTTCAAAGAGTGATGGGAGAGATGGGAGTTGGGTCATGAAAGGAAAATTCAAGGGATAATATATATTTGTTTCATAATATACAAGGAAACGGTGCAATTATTATGACATTTCTGAAAATGAAATATGGCAAAATTATATATTAAAATGGTGGAAGTATACATTGAATTTATACTTGCATGAAAAGTAATACTACATAGAAGCACGAAACCTTAAAACGTTTAGCCAGAATTTATATGAAACAGTAGGATGCGGCCCAGAAGAAAAGGTCAAAGCATCACGTTTTCATGGCACTACAAAATATGTTTATAATCTTCTCCCTCTTGATCTGCATTAGCACTTCATCAGCTGTTACTTTCAAATGATCCATATTAGTAGTTTCTGGCTAAGCCTTCAATTCATAAGTGCTCTAACTACATAAACCATAGTTTAACTTGGATATTTAAGTTTAACATGACACAAATTAGCCTGTCAATTACCTTCACGGACTAGTAACCATTGGATTGCACAGCACATCGACATGCTAACGCAATAGCAATGGTATCTAACTTCATCCAAGACAATTTTCAGACAAGATTTAATTATAACCATTAGCCACCTAGCGAAAACAGGATGAATTTTGGCATCCCTGTGTTATAATTATTGGAAACATCATCACTATCTAGTGGTTGAATGCAGGAAGTTAGACCTAACAATGATGTTCACATATTAAATTACAATGTTCTGCAAGATATATTAATAGGCTAACAAAACTTTAAATAAATTATGCAAACAAACTACTATACTACAAGTAGTGCGACAATACAGACTACATGTAAAGAGCATCACCCAGAGCCTTGCTAAAGCAATGGTGCCTTTGCACTAAAGTAACATGTTTGAGAACACTACCAAAATAAAGTACATGTTAGCTAACCTCCTTTTATTTTTTGCAAGGCCTCATATAACGATTCTTGTCCCTTTCTCTTCAAGCACTATATGTCATGAAAAGTTCAGCAAACATTAATCACTAATGGTTAGTAGAACATTATATCCAAATATCAAAAATAATATCATTGCTACCATTCCACCTTCCAAAACATCTATTTTTAACATTAAAAGTATCAGAGGAAGAAGATGTTCTACTGGTTTAACTCATTTCATTGAACGACAGCAATGTACGTAGTCTTGTAGCTACATTTAATATGGTAAACTGGTGATGCCAACCAATCAAAAGGGATTCATACAAGCTAAGCTCTATATACCATATACCCACTACTTCATGACAACGATCCTAGTTGTTTCTTTGCCTTTGTTGTGTTATTCAAACATCCAAGACCAAGAAACTATACTTTGAGGAAGGGAAAGATATTAAAACAAAAGAATATTAAAGAAAACCATAGATTTGCAAAAACAGAACCTCTATTGACAAGTTAGAAAGCTAACAACAGGGATGTAAAGTAATTTCCTCCCAGGAAAAAAAAAAATAATAAAAATTGACTACTTATTCATCATAATATTGACAAAAAATGCACTTCCATCTTGACCAAATATTGTAAGAGCAATACTCCAATATTAAAATAAGAAATTTTGATATTATGAAAATACACATTGATATTATTGTAAGATTACCCCACTCAATACAAAAAGAGAAAAAATAATAAATAAAATCATTTATTAAGCCTTATTCTTGAACTTAAATTGTTTTTGCTACTCTTAAATTATTTTAATTTAACTTAACGGTTTTCATAAAACTTAAATTATTTTTACTAAGCTTAAATTATTTCTGCTAAACTTATATTATCACTATTGATTTATACTTATTTTGTTGATCCTTTATTATATTTGTTATTTGAAGTTACAGGTTTTATTGATTGAATTTGTTTTGACATGATTTATTTTTGCTCGAATGAAATTATTTTATCATTGAAAAAATGGTAAAAGTTCAATAAAACAAAAATTCATACCATACAAAAATTATGCCTCGATAAAATCAAATTAGATCACCTTTTTCAAGTGAAAAGAATACAATCTAAACCCCTGGTAAAAGTGAAAAAGTAATTTTTTGCTTATGCCAACTAAATAAAAAAAAAATTAAAAACCCTCCTTCAAAAATCCAATATGTTAATAAACTACTATACTGCCACCCATAGGGTTAGCAAAAGTGGAATTTTTTATTTATTTATTTATTTATTTTTAGGTAAGTTAGCTAACATTTCAACCATCAATTAATTACAACAAAAACATTAAAACTTCTAACTTTGTACTTTAGTTGAATCTTGCAACTTCAAAGTATTCATAATTTGAGATATTTTTGCTTAATAATTTCTCCATATACTATAGAAAAACATAGCTATGTGGGGTTTTGTTGATTTGTCAATATCGTTTTTTACAAATTTAAACAAAAACTACATACATAATTTCTTTTTTTTTTTTTTTTTTTTTGAAAGCCTTCATACATAATTTCAGATAATAGTGGTTAAAGACATGTATTGGAACCGGTCAAAGCCAAACCATGAACATCTAAAAGACGTACAAGTATTATACATGCATTAACATAGAGAAATTAATTATTTAACTTACTAATCGCTTATTAAGGACATCACACAATAAAAATGTGGCATATTAAAGTGGGACAGAACACGTACAATTAATTATACATAATTACACATTACTCCGTAATAATGTAAAATTAGAAATTGAATACAAAGTACCTTGCCAAGAAGATGAAGGCCTCGCTCAGCAGCAAGAGAAAGGAGAACAAAAACGAAGCAGACAAGTGCAACTATCCAAGTGGGAGTATACTCCAAAGACTCTTCTTCTGCCATTCAATCTTTAATTCAACCAATTTACTTAGACAAGTTTTTATTAATGGCTGTTTTTCAAATGGTATTGCCATTTTTGGTGAAGATTTCAGTATTATATTGAGAAAATTAGGGAATATAAAGGAATGTAGCTGATTTAAGCAAAGAATTTGGAAAGAGCCAATTTTGGGTTAATCAATTGGAAATCTCAGCTTCAAGCAAAGCATACACGCGATACATATACATTTGATTTTTTACTTTTTTGATACTGGTAGTTGAAAGGTGACTGATCAATTCCTTTTTTTTTTAGAAAAAAATAAAAGAAAATAATAAAAATAAATTTAAAAAAATAAATTAAAAAAAATTAAAAAAAAAAAACCATGGAGAAAAGAGTAAAATTGAACATTACTCGTAGCTTTGTTTTACAATACTTAACATGCAAACTACACGTCTAAACTTAAGTTAATTTTATTGAATTAAAAGTAATTACTATTACTAAATTGAAATTAATTTTATTAATTAAAACTTAATCCTACTAATTTCCTATTTTATTTGTTTTTTTTAACTTAATCAATTTGAACTTTTTTTTTAAATGAAAATCTGAATTATTTTTACTAAACTTATTTTTATTGAGTACTCCGTATTACTTTTACATGGTGAATAGGACTTATGTCTTAAACTTATCATGTGTGACACAAGTCCTGACCTTTATTAAATATATTAATGTTAAAGTGGTAAAATAACATATGTAACGATCAAAGTAATGCACTTACTTAAATACAAAACTTCATAGGAATAGAACCTTCATATGTATACCGAACTTCATAGGAATAGGACCTTCATATAATCAGAAGTTCATAAGGTTCTCGTTGAAACTTCATTTCTATAATTAACATAAAATGTATTGTACACTACATTCTATAAGCAAGAAACTTACAAATTACACTACAAATTCTAGAAAATTTTCAAGCGTACAAATTGACATAATGACTAAGCAGCGGGAAGATCAGACAACCAGGGAAGCAGCTTTTCATGGACCAGGGCAGGTTTATCATCATGAGGGCAGTGTCCAACACCACTGAGAACAGACAGTGTCACATTTGGGCAGCTAGAAGGCAAAGACGTGAAGTATCTCCCAACAGGACCATCAAGCGGGGAAAAAGGGTCTTGATCACCCCACAAAACCAGAACAGGTATCGTGATTCTTGGCATCAGCTTGACTGGACTCGGTCCAGGAGGTCCAGTCACAATTGAAACAAAAGCATCCAATGCACCTTCACCATCTGCTGGTTCCTTTATGATCTGCACTCCTCACATGGCATAAAATTTTAAATATTACCTACTCATAGTAAAACCAGTACTTCATATAAACTTGTGGGATGATGAGCTAAGGATCAAGAAACTAGCAGCATATTTGAATATGTGGAAATGTAAGATAATCTCTGTGTTCCCATAAGTTCAACTCATTTATGGTAGACTTTTGTTCATAAAAAAGTTTGTAAAGAGTGAGTGGGAAGATAAAGGTGTTTAAAGTAAGAGAAATAGAGTAAAAAGGTCAGTGAGTATGTGTAAGGCAAATATGGATAACATAGGAGAGAGTATGAGGAAAAATGTTAATAGTGTGGAGTGTTTGAAGTAAGGTATTAAACGGGGTTTGCCAAAGATAGAACAAAGTAAAAATGAGTCTTAACGTTCTAAAACAGCCCCATATGGAAAGTGAGTCGAACTTTGAAGGATGGAGTGTTTCAATTTTGACACACAATTACTATCCTTCCAGAGTTATCTAAAATAACCATTTAATCTTGCAACTGGTGCTGTAGCACTTCAATATACAAAGTTGTTTTAGCTTTTTTGTTATTTCCATACGTTTTTTTTTTACCAAGTTGCTTGATAAAGTCTGGTCTTTACAGGGTGTTGCCTAGCAACAGATGATCAAATTTCGTATGCAACAGTTTTATAGTTCCCTATACCATATAAGGGGGGAAAAAGGAAAAAAAGACACATGAGATGAAAACTGAAAAGTACCTCAACCAACGTGTCATCCACTGACTCTTTACATCCATAGACGGACAACAAGACATTTCGTAAGTTCTCTCTGCAGGTAAAGGATATCATCCGCACAGGCTTTAACACTCTAAAATTTGTCAAGTAAATTGTACCTTTGTTTGACGCGTTCAAAGAGAGCTGATGCAATAGGCTTTTGCTGTAGGAGGAAGTCAATCAACCAAAGCACGGGTAAGAGCAATTTGATTCTCCAATCATCAACAATAGCTTTGTTATTCATGCCACCAGAACAGTTTAACAGGACAAGTCCACTGACCAGAGGTTGAGATCTTTGACAAGATTCTGATGCAGGAATAGAACCAACAGAAGAATTCAATCAAGAACGAAATCCAAGATGATTTTTTTTTTTCATTGCTGATAATAAAAACTTATCAATTAAACAAATATACAAAAATAACCTACCCGCAGCAGAAATCACACAGGCAAGACTTCCCACGGAATTGCCTATAAGAACAGCTGGCTCTTGAACCACTTCATTCAAGAAATCCAAGAGCAACTGTTGAAAATGAGCCAAGTGGAGTAATCTGCAATGACTGTATACTTAAATAGTAAGTTGACATAGCAACAAAAACAATAAGCTTAACAATAATTTATACCCCTGCCCATGTTTCCATTGTATACATAAATCCTGCTGGCTTGTCCGATGCACCAAATCCAAGGAGATCGATAGCATAAACAGTGTGATCTTGGGCCAATGTTGTAATATTCCTACAGGTAAATTTAAAAAAAATTAGTTTCACCTAAATACATTTTGGTAAAAATGGGAGTTCTAGAGTTTTTACATAATAGTTTTCACATGGATTGCGTACTGCATGCTCTTTTACAACTTCACAGGATACAGTCTAGCAGCTCTAGCTGTCTCTAATGCACAAGGATGCCTTTGAAATGTAAATAACTGTGATGCCCCCTCCCCCTTGTATCATTTTAATTATCGTGTACTGATATGACTACGTACTGAAGGAGCAGTACGTAGGATGTTTCCAGGTTAGCAAGATGAGGATCACAAATTGGATGTGTCCTAGATTCATAAATTTACAGGAGGTCACATCCTAGAAACACTTCAAATTCTCATATTTCTCACCAGAAGCTTACCACCATAATACTTCCAAATTACTTGTTCCACAAAAGTCAAGGACAGGAATTCCAAATGATAAATAAACTTCAAAAAAGAAACAATAGATATCATTCTAGATAAAAGTAGGGTAACAAATCATCATATGAATGGAATCGATCAATTAATACATACGAATGGATTGAGGTGATTGTCATTTATCCTACAGCATTAGCATGATATTCATATTATATGGTCTCAAGTCTCAACAAGCACGCAAGTTAAACTAGACTGTCTTCTTCTGGAATAAAAATCCTTTTCTAGGACAACTTAAACCAGTTTTTTATGTTCATCTTATTGCTAAATAAATGTCAATACAGATATATTTTTTAACTTAGAGTAGTTTACCAGAAGTAGAGAAGATTTTTCTTATATGACGAAATGAAGGACTAGTGGGTTTAGCAGCTAGATTTTACAAAGATCTTTCAATAGAAAATGCAATTCAAATCAAAGTATTCTTCTCCACACCAAACAACTACATAGAGAATTATAACTTTGACAATCAACATTCTTTTTTCTTGTTTTAACAAGAAATTTAAATTTTCCCATTTAAATCAACATTCTAGGTATTCCAAACAGTAAGATTGAGCGAGGTCAATGAGCACAAATCCAAATTACCAAATAGAATTGAACAACAGCACCAAGCTAGACAGCAAGAGCTTTGCATTGCACAAACAATTCAGCAATATGACCTGACTTATTGAAGCAATAAATCCTTAAATCAGAAATATATTTCCTATGCATTACTTCTAGCAAATCTCATATTATATCACATGGTCCTTCAATCAATTCATGACCATTCATTGGGTTAAGAAAATCCAACTCAAATCAAAAGTAAAAATTAAACATGAATAGCACAAACATATTTATAAGATAAAAATAAGTTCTAATTTCGTAATCTAAGTTAAGTTTTATGGTAATCTCTGCTCGAGTTCAATGGAATTTCAGTCTCGGCCTCTCGTGTCCTTCAATTATCACCCCTAGTCCATACCCAATACACATGTGGACGGAATTCATGTAACATAATTGCAAAGAACAAATACTACATAACATAACAGAAACTAGTTGACAGAATAAAATTCCACAAAACAAAAGAAAAGGAAAAGGAAATACCTTCTCCAGTGAGGAATAGAAGCACCAAATCCATGTACAAGGACCAAAGGAGGCCGACGACGACCAGAATCAGCAGATAACGGAGATTGAACAAAGTAATTGATAGAGTAACGATCTTTCCATTGCCATTTACGGGATCTTTCTTTGATTTCGCTCACTTCTAAAACCTCTTTGTTGGTAAAGGTAGTTGTGGATGAGACTGCCTGCAGCGAGCGGTGGCGAGGGAAGAGGATGCGGTGGTTGAGGCTGACACTGCCTCCGTGACCGTGGTTTAGTGGGCGGTGGTGATAAAGGAAAAATGGTGGCGAAGAAGGTGATGGTCGACAGGGTGAGGATAAGAAGGTGGTGGACGATGCTGCGGCTTCCGCCATAGATATTGTTGTTGCCACAGACATCACACAACTAACTATTCCCACCTTTTCTCTCCTGTCTAAACTCTTTTTGTTTTTCCTCTGTTAAATATTAACACCGTCATAAAAAAAAATATCTCCAATGATGAAATTCAAATTTGAGCATTAAAATACAAAAATAGTTGTTTCTTTACGCCCAACTAACTTCTCAATTTAACAACTCAAGTGATATACGATTTTCCAATGAAACTCTATTGAAGCTCGTTTATGATCGTTTATTTGATAAATGAGTAGAGTTTGAACAAATTTTGAAATTCGTTTAGTAAATGAGCCTGGACACAGGCCTATAAACATAGATTTGCTCATTCAGATAAGTTCATGAACAACTTGTTTATTTACGTTTGTGAACTACTCGTTATTTATATTCATGAATTATTGATTTATTTACAATTTTTAATTCGATTTTTAAGTCTTTTTTAATAAATAAGATTTAGTTTTAGATTTATAATTAGGATTTTAATTATTATGCTAATGTTGAGAATTTCAAATGACAAAAGTACATAGCTCATTATTACTAATATAATAAGTCCGTTCATGAAATCTTTTATCAACATGTTTAATAAACGAGTCGTTTCATGAACAACCTGACATTTGACATTTGCTAACTGCTTTTTTTTTTTTACTTTACTACCACCCAAATCCCACATTGTTAAATTTAACTACCTGATTCCTTAAGCCGTTACTGTTTTTGTTAGTGGGGCTCAACCACCGTCCAGCCACTTCTCCATCCCCAGCCATCTCACTGCTACCTCCCTTTCTCCTGGCCCATCAACGCTGCCCCGAAAGCCGAAAAGTCACTACCACCCCCTCCTCTCGCCAGCCAACTCATTCCCCTTGCTGGCGATAACTCCTCATTGCCCCTACCCAACCCTCCCCCTACCCCTAAAACCCCCAAATCGTTCTGCCTCCACCCTCGAAAACCGTGGCCGCTAGGGTTTCGGGGCTGGGCGGGGAGCGATTAGGAGGTTTCAAGGGTAGGGAAGGGATTTTCTAGGGTTTTGTGGGAGGGAAAGGGGTTTTAAGGCGGGGAATCGTGGTTTAGGGGCTAGGGAAGAAGGGTGATGTCACGCAAAGGGGTTCAAGTGTACCGGCGGGGCTTTGTCCGGGTTAGGGGCAATTGGCGGGGGGAAATGGAGGAGGTCGGGTTTGCCGGCGTCAAGGGAACATTTGGGCACCAGCAAAGGGAGGGGAGAGGGTGGCTGACGAGGAGGGGGAGGTGGTAGAGATCGGGTTTATTTTTTTAAAAGTTTTTTTTCAAAAAAAATAAATAAAATAATTATTTAATGAAATTTTGGCCCCACTTAACGGATTCTGTTAAGTGGTAGAAATATAGAGTATATATTTTTGGTATTTGCGTGGTAGTAAAATTTAAAAAATAAAAAAAAAATTAAACAGGTAGCAAATGTCAAACATGATGTTTTTAGTGGTAGAAAATGTCAAATTTTCCTAAAGGTAATCATTCTTATCATTCTATTATTTCTTTTGATACTTTGATAATAATTTTAAAACATTATTTTTAAAAAAATTGGGACTATTATTGGCTTTATTGCAACTAACATCGTAGTCGTTACCATTAGTTTTAAAATTTATTGCAACTAACACCGTAGTCGTTACCATTAGTTTTTAAATTTATTAATCTATATACGTAGTATATACTAAAATAGCAACCGTTTACGTGTCACTTTTTTATTTAATTTTTTCCCGCCAAAATGCAAGGATGATGTCATTTGTTTTCCTTTTTAAGCTACCCTAATTAACATAGCTTTGAAAATATATTCCATTTGAATTTTTAAATTTTGGGTTTTCAACGGATATTAGGCTATTTAGTTATTTACGAGTTGTTAACAATAGTTAATAATATAATTTAATTGAAATTTCTTAATAAAATATGAAAACTATGCACTTTCAGGAATTGTATTTTGATATTTAATTAAAAATTAGTTAGGAAAAATGAGGAAGTTATTTTCTTTTAGTACGCGTTAAAAGTCTATAATTCAATTCTTATTTTAAAATTGTGCATCGCACGGGATTAATCTTGTATGATTAGTTAATACTACATCCGTTTCTTTTTAGTTAACACGTATTCATTTTTAGGAGGTTTTTTTCTTAGTTGACACGTTTCCTTTTGAGGTAATTTTTTTACCTTGCATTTACAAGTTACCCCACTTGTTTTTCATTCTCTCTCACTCTCTCTCCTCTCCTTAATATATGTGTCTAAATCAAACGCGTCAACTAAATGAAAACGGAGGAAGTAGTTATTAGTTTATTACCGCAAAAAAAAAATAGAGAAATGCTAGAGGAATAGTGTACAAAAGAAAATTATACACCACTAATAAAAGTTAAGTTTGCCAAGTAAGCAAGCCCATTAAATAACAGTCATAGAGGGAATCTGAAATTTTAGAGGGGAAAGGTGAGAGGGAAATAATTTGGTTTTTACCACACAATTACACTTTATTTGAATAGGAGGAAATGAAAGGAAAAGAAGAGAAGAGAAATGAAAGGATCAAATTCTCTTATTTAGGTAAAAGATTGGAGGAAAATTGGAGGGAAAATGGAACTCACCTCCCCCTCCCTTTCTTTTCCCTTCCCTTCCTCCATTTTCCCTCCCTTCTTTTTGTTAGGATTAGTGTGGAGATAGATAAATACATGGAGACATAAGGAGATTGCATAGAAGCTGCCTTATTGTTAAGGTTCGACCAAACTTGTGAAAAGTTCGGTCGAACCCGGTTTTAAGTCAGTAGGTGCACCAGTTTACATTTCTAGAGGAGGAGTGACCAAACCCAAGGAGGTTCGACCGAACCACCCCAGGTTCGACCGAACTCTGGGTAGGTTCGGCCGAACCTCCCTGCTCCCTATTTCGTCGCTTCGTTTTCGGCTTGTGCGATTTGCTTTAATCTTAGCCGTTGGATTGTATTTTCTACCTAGACTATATATACCTTTTCTAAGCCTCTTTGTTGATTATTCACAAACATTTAAACACATAGAGAGGTTTTGAGAGGGTTTGTGAGGAGCATTTGAATTCTATACAATTCATGCTTGTAATTCTTGAGTTCATTCATCATCAATATTACTCCATAGTGCAAGGGTGGGTTTTTTCTCCCGGTTCTCGGGTTTTCCCACGGTAACATTGTCTTCCTTTTACTTGCTTTAATTCCTTCAAAGTTGTTCTTGATTGTTATGCTTGTTTGTTCATTGCTATTGTGGGTTGATTGCAAGTTAGTTGAACACTTTAATCCTTACAATTGGTACCAGAGCCAAGGTTGAATCTTTGGTGTTTTGATGATTTAGGGTTTGTGTTAAACTTGAAATTGTGATTGAGTTTCAAAGTTTGGAACTTTAGGTGTTCAAAGTTTGAGTCTTGGGTGTCAAGTTGCATTCTTTGTTGTTGAAAACCTATTGTGAACTTTGTGTGTTTGATTTGCAATGGAAGAAGGCAAGTTGAGAATTGAGAAGTTTGATGGGAAGGATTTTGGGTTTTGGAAGATGCAAATAGAGGACTATTTGTATCAAAAGAACCTATATTTGCCCCTTACTAGTAAACCATCGGGTATGAAGGAAGAGGAGTGGAAAGTATTGGATAGACAAGCCCTTGGAGTGATTAGATTGACATTGGCTAAGAGTGTTGCTTACAATGTCAAAGATGTGACAACGACGGTTGGTGTGATCAAAGCATTGTCCAATATGTATGAGAAGCCATCGGCTATGAACAAGGTGTTCTTGATGTGTCGTTTGTTTGAAATTGAGATGAATGATAGTGGTTCCGCCCCCGAACATATAAATGAATTCAATTCAATAATCTCTCAACTAGCTTCGGTTGATATTAAGTTTGATGATGAAGTGAGGGCCTTGATCTTGTTGTCATCGTTGCCTAGAAGTTGGGATACCGTTGTAGCCGCCATTAGCAACTCTTCCGGAAAGTCGAAGTTGAAGTGTGATGATGTGAGGGACTTAATCTTGAGTGAGAGCTTGAGAAGGAAGAACTCGGGTGAGTCATCGGGTGGTGCTTATTCTAGTGAAGGTAGGGGACGTGGAAGACAACAAAGAGGTGCTCAAAGAGGAAGATCGAAGTCTAGAGGGAGGAGTAAGTCGAAAGGGAAGGTGAACATTGTGTGTTGGGGTTGTGGTGTGAAAGGGCATACTAAGAGGGAATGTCCTAATCCCAAGAAGAAGGGTGGTTCAAACCACAAGAACCACGATGATGCTAGTTCATCGGTTAGCTTGGCATCAAGCGATGAAATCGGTGATGCATTGATCTTGAGTGTTGATAGTCCCATTGAGTCTTGGATCCTTGATTCGGGAGCTTCATTTCATTCTTCTCCATGTAAGGAGATTTTCCAAAACTTCAAGAGTGGCAAGTTTGGAAAGGTGTACCTTGCGGATGATGAACCGTTGGAAATTTTGGGGAAGGGAGATGTCATGATCAAGACCTCAAGTGGGAGCTCATGGAAAATTGAAGATGTTAGGTACATACCTAAGCTAAGGAAAAATTTGATTTCGGTGGGTCAACTAGACTCAAGCGGTTATAGAACCATGTTTGGTGAGGGTACTTGGAAGGTGTCAAAAGGAGCTATGGTGGTGGCTAGGGGCACGAAGACCGGTACTTTGTACACTACCTTAGGGTGTACAAGCATGATTGCTACAACCGCAAATGATGAGACTAAGCTATGGCATACTCGGCTTGGTCACATGAGTGAGAAAGGGATGAAATTGCTAGCTTCAAAGGGTAAGTTGTCGGGGTTGAAATCAATCGACATGAAATTTTGTGAGACATGTGTTTTTGGGAAACAAAAGAAGGTGTCTTTCACATAAACCAAACGGTCCTTGAAGAAGGAGAAGCTAGAACTTGTGTACACGGATGTTTGGGGCCCATACCCCATCAAGTCCCTTGGTGGTTCTCACTATTTTGTCACTTTCATTGATGATTCAACCCGGAAAGTATGGGTATATTTCATGAAGCACAAGTCGGAAGTGAATGAGAAGTTCAAGACTTGGAAGGCGGAGGTTGAAAATGTTTCGGGCAAGAAGATTAAGGAAATCAAGTCCGACAATGGAGGAGAGTATGAGTTGGAAGCTTACAAA